ATACGGAAGCAAGCAACCATATGTGTCGAAGAAGAAACATGTTTGTGGAGTTTGATGAATCAGTAAGCGGCAATATTACCTTTGGAGATGAATCCAAGATTTCGATGTAAGGCAAAGGTAAAATCTTGATCCGCTTGAAGAATGGTATGCATCAATTTATCTTAGATGTCTACTATGTACCCAATATGAAGAATAATATTCTGAGTTTGGAACAACTTTTGATATATTTGAAAGATGATAGTCTTTCAATAAAAGATCAAAGAGAAAATTTGATTGTCAAAGTCCCTATGACAAGAAATAAAATGTTTGTATTAAGCATTCAAAATGATGTTGCCAAATGCTTAAAATCTAGTTTTAAAGATTCATATTGGCTTTGGCACTTGAGATTTGGGTATCTTAATTTTGGAGGCTTAAAGTTGTTGATTAAGAAGAAAATGATGAAATGTTTGTCCCCTATAAATAATGTGGATCAACTATGTGAAGGATGCTATCTTGAAAAGCATTCAAGAAAAAGTTTTTCAAAAGAGCATCTACGAGAGCTAAGAATCTACTAGAATCTCTACACTTGGATGTTTACGGGTCAATCAATCCAAACTCTTCTGTAAGAACAATTACTTTGTTCTTTCCATTGATAATTTTAGTAGAAAGACTTGATTCTATTTTCTCAAACAAAAATAGGAAGTTTTTAGAACTTTCTAGAAGTTTAAAGCTCTTGTTGAAAATGAAAGTGGCTTTAGCATAAAAATCATGTGATTTGATAGAGGATGAGAATTTACCTCCAAAGAGTCTGAGAATTATTATGAGGAGAATGGAATTTGTCCCATTAACAATTCTATACTCTCCCCAACAAAATGGAGTTGCCAAAAGAAAGAATAGATCCATTCTTAATATGGCTCACTGTATGCTCAAAAGTAAGAGATTGCACAAAGAACTTTTAGGTTGAAGCTGTTAATTCTGCTATGTACTTGTCTAATCGATCCCCTTCTAGAAGTGTGTCGAATAAGACATCATAAGAAAAATAGAGTGGAAGGAAGCTCGATATCTCTCACTTGCGAGTGTTTGGAAGCATTGCATATACTTAAGTGCTGGATCAAAAATGGTCCAAGCGAGATGAGAAAAGTGAAAGGTATATCTTTATCGGCTGCGACTCTCGCTCCAAAGGCTACGAGCTGTATAATCTAAGCAAGGAGAAGATTATCATAAGTAGAAATGCCAAGTTCAATGAAGACGGAGGAGGTTGAGATTGGGCTGTCCAAGAGAAAGACTATGAATTCTTGCCATTCTTTGAGGTAGAGAACAAGAGAATGGGGAACAACAAGAGCCTACCAGACTACGTCCATCATCTACTCATAGAGATGATTCACAATCATCTTTACAATGAGAAAGCTCAAGCGAAAGGACAACACGGATGATGAGCTTACAAGAGCTATATGAGGTAACAGAGAATCATAATAATTTCACACTTTTTAGTCTTTTTGTCAATTGTGAGCCAATAAGGTATGAAGAAGCCACGCAAAGTAAAAGATAGTGTACAACGAATTTCGTGTATTAAAGCATAGGAATCGTTACAAATTGTATTTTGATAAAATACAATTGATGTTGACCTTCTTGTAATTGCAAAATTGTAAAAATCCTCTGATTAATAATCTGAATATTTGAAGATGAGAGGTTACATGGCTTGAATCCTAGTCTTCGAGAATTTGTTGAAAATTTGATTTGTGGAGATTAGACTTGTTCGGCACTTGGATTTCATGGCTTGGACTTGTGCTTAAATTTGATTTGATTTGATTTTAAGAAGATTTTGATCTTCTTGAACTTGAAGTGAACCTGTTTGATTCGAAGAAGATTTTGATCTTCTTGGGGTTCACTGGATTTAGATTTGAGAGGATTTCTTCTCTTCCCCTAGCTTTGAAAATTTTTCAGCAGTTCATGATTGCCTTCTCTTCTTTCACTTCTTGCTTCTCTTTGCTTTCACTTGCTTTTTCTTCTCCTTCTTGTCTAATGGACCATTGGTCCTAAATAATTGAGTAATTATATTTTATTTATTTAAAAAGTGAGATGAACCTTTAGGTTTATGGACCTTAGTAAACTTTAATTTAATTGGGCTAATTATTTAAATCGACTTAATCCATTTTCTTTATCTTTTATGTCTATAGATAAAGAGATGTCATGGATGAAAAGATTAAGGTTATTGAGAAGAATGACACGGTGGAGTTGACGATTCTTCCCAAAGGTAAAGGAGCAATCACAGTCAAGTAGGCGTGCAAGGCAAAGAAGGATGCTAAAGGAGAAGTGGAGAAATACAAAGCAAGATTGGTTGCTAAAGACTACAACCAATTGTTGAGGATCTACTATAAAAAGGTATTTGCCCTAGTTGCTCACTTAGAAACTATAAAATTAATAATCTCTCTTGCCGCGCAAAATAAGTGAAAGATTTTTCAAATGGATGTGAATTCAGCTTTACTAAATGATTATCTTGAAGAAGAAATTTATGTGAAGCAACCACTGTATTATAAAATAAAGGGGCGTGAAGATAAAGTCTTAAAACTCAAAAAGACTTTATATGGATTGAAATAAGCTCCAATGGCATGGAATAGTAGAACTGACAAGTATTTTCTAGAAAATAATTTCACAAAATGTCCTCACGAGTATGTCCTTTATAGAAACGTAAATGAGAAATGAGATATCTTGTTTATTTGAATGAATAATCTTATATTCATAGAAAATAATCTAAGTATGATCACTGAATTTAAGAAGGTCATGGTTCAAGAATTCGAGGTGGCGGATATCGACGTCATGGCCTACTAACAAAATTATCTCCCAAGATTATCTCCATATTAGGTGTAACCGAGATTTTCTCCATTGTAATTGTCAAATACCTTACTTAGACTTAACCATTTCTGTACATACATGCATTGTATCCACAATTACCAAATCAATGAGAAGTTTATACTCATTCAGCAATCTTAACATATATTGTATTCTTATACCTATTCCAAGATTCACGACTCTATTAGAGGAAAAATGACTTCGTTAATAGGTTTTCCATGCTCCTAGTCCCTTGTTTTGTTGCTTTCTATTGTGGGCTTTGTACAATTGGTAGATAAATATCACTCTAATACAACGTAGGTAGTACAGACTATGGAAACAAAATTATGACTATTGAACTTTGTATAATGTATTTTATTGGACATTAAACTTTTAGGTCCCGTTTGATTCCCATTTTTCTCAAAATGCATTATTCTTTCTCTCATTTTCAACCATACATTGTTCATTAAAATAATATTACATGTAAATAAAAAACTATTCCTTATTTTTCATCTACACATTCTCCATCAATCTACTATTCTAAAATTCATTTTTTCCCTAAAAATGAGTGTCAAGCACCCCCTTAAAGTTTTTTGGATGGTCAACGAACTTACCGAATTACTATATCGTTCATCACTCAAATACGCACCATTTGAAAATTTGACGAACTCATTGACGTGGCAAATGAAAATGATGACATGGCAAATTTCATCATTAGTTGACGGCAAATCATCCAAAACAGTGCTTAGAAAAATGTCATTAATGGAAAAAAAGCAATAAAAATATTACAAAATGAAAATATAGATAAAGGGTTAAAACTCAGTTGCACTTTCTATAAGTGCTTGTAGTAGATGAAGAATTTCACTGGATTAGCATTTTCATTTGCCAAGTCAGCAGGTCTGTTAATTTTTCAAACGGTGATTTATTTAGTGTTTGGTGACCATCTGAAAAACTTGTAAAGTTTAATGACCTATTCAAAATATCGTGCAAAATTTAATGGACATTTGGATTTTTAACTCTACAAACTCTCTTGAACAAAACTGCTAAAGCGCAAGAAATAAGATTATTATTATTCAGAAAACGGGCTTAGCTAATAAATCTACAAGCCATCTATGACACGTGCTTTCAACCACACATCTTTATAAACATGGACTATTCCATGTTTAGCCAACAAATCACATTATCATTGATATTTCGCAATCTTCAATAATTACTTGAAGGAGTAGTATTTGGAAACGGATATAGAATCGTAAATGAACTTATACGATGTGACCCTTTAATATGTTAGATGGAATATGATTCAGGAAAAAAGTACAGACAATGCCCTATCCAATCCAAACTAGGATAGATAATACAGTCCATAGAGATGTCAGAAGCCCATAGGAAGAAAATACTGTTGAGTATGCCAAGTGAACCTAGTGCTTAAGAAACTATCGTTATAATTCTTGGATACGATCTGGTTGATTCTCAAGTTCCCAAAGGATTACGTCAACCTGACACCACTAATTTTTTGCTGCCACTAGGCTTAGAAATAGAACACAATTATCTTGATTCTGGGTTAATACCTTGATATAATGTTAATATATCGAAGCAGATAGCAGAACTCAACAATTTTATGTTTAAGAGAACGTGCGAGAGAGAAGACATGTACTAATTTTGGAGTATATGCTATCTCAAATTTCATACATCATCTCGACAACATTTTACGTGCATTAAAAAAAATATATATTGTATTAGCAAATATGAGAAGCGAAATTGATTTGTTAACACATTATTAACAAATACTAGTATTTTGGAATTAGTTTACATAGTGTAACAGAAACTGCACACTTAATGCATGTTTAAAGACGTTTATACTTATACACCAAGATCAGACAGGAAAGGACAATAAAATATCTTTGTAATAGTGACGTGATCATCTTTCTAAGAACTTGTGAGTCCATAGAAAAATGTCTATTATTTTTTACAATTGAAATGTAACTTCATGACATATGTGCTCATAGGCGATAATCAAAACAACATACAGTCGAAAGCTTATTAAAAAAAAAAAAAGTGTTATTTCCATTGGCATGAACTTAATATGTTCTAAATGAGCAGAATATAGATAAAAAAAAGCCTTGTAAAAAACAAAATCTAACATAGGATGCTTATTTAAGTTATATAATACATCATTTGATGTTGTGTTACAACCTTGTCCGCAACCTGAGTTTTATTCCACAAATTTAAAAAAATAAAATTGGAGATGAACTTGGCAATCACATTTCCGGGCTATTGGAGCCAAGTAACTTTGTAAGACCAAATGTGACACCCATAGCCATCCACCCACTCACCACTCCCCTAGAACAAGATCTAGCCACCGAAGCCCCACCCATCACCTCCCCAATTCCTCCAGAAGAAACCAATGCTAAGGTGACTGCCGCCACCACTGCTTCTAGCCTCACCTTATAATTTTCTATAAATGCAGCTGCAAGTAATGGTACAACGGCGCCTAACGAAAATGCCAGGGCTGATGCCATGGCTGCCTGCAAAGGATTGCGGAGTTTTTCCTTTTCCAGTTCTCCTTCATTCTGTCCATCATTTGTCAATCTCTTTTCTCTCTTCATTTGAGCAATTTCTATGTCTAGTCGAGAGTACACGGAGACGAACTCTCCAATTGCCATGCTACAAGTACCGGCAAATAGTCCTGCGAATCCAGTAAGAACCATCACCTTGGCATCTTCTTTAACCGCTCCAACTCCCATCATTAATGATGCAATGGATACCAAGCCATCGTTGGCTCCGAGCACAGCAGCACGAGGCCATTGTGCTCTTCGTGAGTAATCAAAGTCCTTTATGTCTTCATGAAAATTGCACTGATTTTGTAGTACATTGTGCTCAGGGATCACAATTTGCACTTGGTTTGGGGCAGCCATGAAGAATTAAGGCTAAGTAGCAGCTAAATAAGTTGTTTTTACTAATGATAAGTTGCTTCTTGAAGGCGCAATGCTTCATGAATGAATGAAGGGTTATATATACTGAAGGGAAACTAAAGAATAATCCGTGTTAATGGGCATGTATACAGGATTAAATGGTGCAGAAAGAAAATAAAAAAGTAAAAAGAGGAGCACAAACCATTGTGGCTCTTTAATCCAAGCACTTCTCTTTTAATATTTGGCTGTTAGACTCACATAACTAGACAAGATTAACGACATAAACATACGAAATACTGCTTAGTTGTAATATCCAGTGCTGTCCACTATACACGACTCAATCGGCTCTGAGACTGTATACTTCTATCTCTCGCTTGATTATTCTTTTTCGTGTTAGCTATGCTCAACTAAACAAGACCGGACAGACTAACTTATCACGAGCCCATCTTTCTTTCCATGGGTAGGATTCATCAAAGTGGCCTCCCTAAAAGTGGATTGCTGTTTACGAGAGCACTAAATGGTATAATATAAAATTGGAAGGAGCTTGTCTAATTAATTGAAATTGTGCGCAGTCGTTTGCTTTACATTGAAGCTTTTAAACTCCACTACAAATATTTCCTTTTTGCAGTCTCCAACCTTTTTGGCCACGAGAATTTCAAAGAAACTTGCAAGTATCTTCGTTAGATACCGTGATAATGACGTGAGACTCGAATTCTTTGATCCCGAAGGACATCAGTATTGTACTAATAGAATTGTCAAGCACTATAATCCGACGGACCGACCTAGTGATAGGAAGAGAAAGAGCTGATCGCAACTCGCTATTGGGGAGCGATCTATTGGCTCTCTTCCTATTTTGTTTCGGGCAAGGGAAGAGGAAGAATGTAATGACCCAAATTTTAATATTTAAATTGTTACTAAAAGTTTCATTCCATAATTAAATAAGCATATCAAACATCCCAATATGAAATTTTTAGTTCCATCAATAAAAATAAACCATATGAAAAACATAACCAAATAAAGTGTGTTCCAAATCATAAATCCACATAATAATAAAACTAAAACAAATGCTGAAAATAAAATTCACAGTCACATTACACCGGATTTAATTTATTGAGTTCCATAAATCTAGACACTATGATTGCACCTTATCGCCTGCCAAACAACTACTTATTCTAACATGTAAGGAGTAGGGAAAAATGGTGAGTACATGGAAATACTCAATAGGACACGAAAAATATTGGTGCAATCCCGAATAAAAATATATATTTAAATTATGCTTCAAAATATCATACCATCATCATATTTTCGGGAACCTGTAAGAGCTCAATACATATCATATATTTGGTACCTAATGACCATATTATATCATATTTTTAACTTTCATAAGTATAATAAATCAACAACGCATAAAAATAATTTAAACAGAATATAAACAATTGCACCTCGTTACCTATATCTTACTAGATCAAATAGATTTTTAAAAGGTAGCAACTAAAAAATCACGCTTCCAAAATTTTTTTTATGTTTGTTCCAGTGTGTGTGTATATATATATATATATATATATATATATATATATATATATATATA